TTGCAGTTAACACATGGAAGTCAGGAGGAGTTGCAGTTTATCCCACTGCAGAAAATGTCCTTATCATACCTAGTCCAAGCCATGGCATGGCTCAACTCCCGGACTCTGGCTGTGATGGATACCAAAGAGCACTTGCATGTGATTGATGTCAAGACTCAAGATGAGCTAGAGACTGTGGATCTTGCCCACCTTGGCCTGGTCTATGCTTCTGCACACTTCAAAGCCATTGCCACTGGAAGCAATGTCAGTAAAGCAATGGTAAGTTGAAGAAAAGTGTTATCTCCTTGGGAAAAAAAAAATGCAGTATCAAACTTTCTTATGAGTAAAATTGTTGAGCAAGACTTCATGCTTTGAGGAAATCATGAGACATTTTCATTTTGTACAGGCACTGGCAGGTGAGAGAGCCTGTTATCACTCCATGGTCAGTTTTGGATCACAGGTTTTGCTACTTGGGACAAAATCATTCCAGGTAAGATTGTTTACAAAAAGTAATTTGACATCCCATAATGTCTTAGACATAGATAACTGGAGGATATTTTGCATCATGATTTTATTTCTGTTTGTCTGCTTTGGTTTTCTTAGGGTAACCTAAATCAGCATTATTGTGAGTCAGTTGATTGGTTCTTTTTAATTTCCTCATGCACATGTTTAACATTATTCCCATAGTAGTTTGATTTTTATTGTTGTCATAAAGCTAAAGGTTTATACCCTGGCTTTCTTCTTCTAGGTTTAATGTGGCCTAATTTTAAAGATTTTTGTAATATCTATCTCCTTCAGGAATATACTCATGCTGAGGGCAGCTTTGAGTTGTGTCCACCATCCACTCCAGTGTTGACATGTTATAATTTCAGGTAGTCACAGTGCGCACGTGGGTGGACCGGCTGGACCACCTTGTTCGTGGGGGACATGTCCGTGAGGCTCTGCAGCTGGCATTAGACATATATCAAGATAAGGCTCAAGCTGTTGTAGGACTCAAACATAAGAAAGAGAAAAGACAATTGGTAAATTAAGTTTTCAAGAATTTTAATGCAAATATTTGTTTGTACATTGTTGCATATCACCTGCTTTGCCATGCCAGCTAACTCATCTCTCTTTCCTTACTGGAAAAAGAATGTGATGTAAGTGTCTGCTTTTCCTGACAGCTTGTTCAAGAAAAAATCAATGAGCTTCTTAATCAGTACCTTGACTCTGCACTAGAGAAGCTTCCAGAACGAAACAACTTGGAAGGCCTGAATAAGTATTATACCCAGTTGGTCCCTCTTTGCGTCCAAGTTGCTGTGGGAGCTCACCTTCGGGAACTGCTGTTTGGGAGGATGTGGGACCTCTTCAGTGAAGATGCCATATCCAAAGGTATTGATCTGGCCTTTGCATTCTTTCATGGGTTACCTTGGGAAGTTTTGTTCATATCTGTAAGAGTGCATTTAAGGTATTGTAGAGTGAATGATATCAGTATTGGTCCTAGATATGTATTCTTGGTGATTACTTAGAGTAAAATTATTCATACAAAATGTATCTTTGGTAAATACTGGACTCAGATATTAAAGAAAGAGAAGATATTGATTATATCCTCACATCAATTCACAAATGGAAATACTGCTATAGGAGATCAGAAATAGGCTACAGTAGCCATAATCGTAGCATTTACTTCTTCTTGCAACAAATATTTGTATATGTTGATTTTCTTTCACTGGGTATAAAAAAAACAAAAAAACACCAAAGATAAATGTAAATTTTTATTTATTTAGAAGCTTGAAGCAAGTTACTGAATGAAAGCTTTTGTGATTCTTTCCTTTCAGGCATTTTCTTGGAGTCACTAGAGCCATACATCCTGAGTGACCAGTTGGCAGACATGTCACCTAGCATATCGCAGTGCCTCCTGTCTCACCATGAGGCATGTGGCAGACTTCAGGCTGCAGAAGCTTGCATTGTCCACCTACTGGTGACATCCCTTGACCTCCACCAAGCCATGACCCTTTGCTGGACTCATGGACTCTATGATGCTATATTCTACATCTACACCCATGGCATGAGAGATTTTGTTACTCCATTGGAAGAACTCATCACTGTTTTGAGTAATGCTATGGATAGTGGCAAAGCCTTAACTGATAGTCAGGTGATGCTGGGAAACAAGATTCTTGTATATGTGTCGAGTTGCCTAGCTGGACGTGCATACCCACGGGGTGAGATTGACCCAGAGGAACTCCAGCAAGTTAAACATGAAATATTCAAGTGTATTACATCACTTCATTCAAAAAATGCAAAGCCAACTGAACAGGCTTATCCTTTCCTAAGAACTCTGTTAAGATTTGATACTAGGGAGTTTTTGAATGTCCTAGCACTAGCTTTTGAGGAGGCCGAGTTCACCTCAGAACTTGGGATGATCCAGAGGCAGCGTGTTGTGGATATCCTCCTCCAGGTATGTTGTAAACAGAAGTGCCATTTCTATTTAAAGTTTTGACATATTGGGATTTTTTCTTAAACTGGCATCATCCTAGCCATCAAGAAGTTATATAATGCAGAATTCTAACTGCAGAATTTGAGCTGTTGTCTTAATTACATTTTTGCTTTTGCCTACTTGTGTTGGTCTTTTTTTATCATCAAGTAAAAAATGTAACTTAACACATCAGGTGATGGTAGAGGGAGAAGGCTTTGGGCCAGCTCAGTTGGGAGGACTCTTCACCTTCATAGCACGTCAGATGTCCAGGCAACAGGGCGCCATTGCAGTCAACAGGCAGCTGTTTGATCAAGTAAATTTCCTCATTTTCTTTAAAACAGTTGAATGAGGGATTATTAACATATTTCTTTTAGTGATTATTAGTCAAAATTGATGTTGAATGAAATATTGTTTGGTTTGACACAAACTAATCATAAAAGTCTTCTTGACAGGTTTTGTGCCACCTAACAGCTCCAGATGCATCAAGTCACCATGAGGAACGTCAAACAGCATTACTAGAGCTCTTGCAAGAAGGTGGTCTTGTACATTACAAGGTGGAACAACTGTTGGAGAAAGCACGGCAAGCAGGATTGTAAGAGAAAACTTCTTCACACTATCAATATTTGATACATGTTTATTTTGCCTAAAACTGGGTTATCTACTGCTGATGTAAATAGTTTATGTTTTGAAATTATATATGACTTTTTCTCTTTTTTTTTCATGTGAGCAGTTATCGAGTGTGTGAATTCGTGTACGAAGAAAGAGGAGAACATGAAAAGATTGTTGAATGTTACTTACAGGACAAGATGAGGAAACATCAAGTGTTTACATATATACGTTCTGTCCTGTCATCACCTCAGTTCACAGACTTGCATGCACAGAAGATTCAGCAGCAGTTCCTAAAACATATCAAGGTAAGTGAAAAACTAGAT